ACCTTAATAGAATTACTTTTTAATGGACAAGAAGTCAGAAAACCTCACTAAATGTAGTAAAATAATATATCAATATCAATCAGAGAATCAAATAAGCATACCTGCAATTAAAAAATGGTCCAAAGAATGAAACTACAATATACTGATCGAGGACTGGCAACAATCTATTGCCAAAACTAACAAATATATACACTGCACTAACCTCCAAGAAAAACAATACAAAATTATGAACAGGGTACTGGGTACCTAGAAAACTAAAATGTATAAATCCATCAAGTTCAGATTTGTACTGGCGTTGTACGATAAAAAAAGGGAATTATATACATATATGGTGGCAATGCAGTTTGATAAAGAAATTTTCGAATTAGATATCGCTTTTTTAAGAGACCAAGGAATAACCTTATTAAAAAAAATTCCACAGATTGCAATATTACACCTACTTGAAGAAAAACTTCCAGAGAGAGAAATATTTCTTATAATCGTGTTCTAAATGTCTCAAACATTCTTATAGCTAGAAACTGGGTGCAATCAAAAATTCCAAGTAAATTACCAGATTTTACTAATTTCATGACGTAAAGTCATGATTTTATAAAGGACACGGAGGCGAGTATTATGCTTTCCTCTTTCTTTTATTCCTCAGCAGCAAAAGAAATATTGTATATATATTCCATGAAAAAAAGAAAACAATTCAATAACACCACATCATAACTTCTAAAGGGTTAATCAAATACCACATAGGAACCAATTAGAGTGTCCCCATTACAACAAAGTCCCATGTGACCCTAAGCCACTCCTCTTTCTTTTGGTGTTGCTGATGGACACTCCAAAACTCGGCAATGAAAAAACAACCAGTAGTCGTGTAGAGAAAACAGTGAATCCAATAGAAGATGACGTCAGACAAAAAACCAACAAATCCTGAAGAAAAAACTGGTCATCCTCCATCCGCACACTTGTGGGTATGCCTGGACCATTATGGCACTCCAATTAGGAAGCTGTAAGACAGAGAAACGAGATGGTAAAATGTGTTCTTGGATAATATTTTTCCACGTTCATATTCCAAAACTATCTAACACTAAATCATTCTCATGTTAGTCACTCAAATGGAAATAAAATAGCACATTATCACACGGCTCCAGTCCCATAACATACATTATATTCCCAGAGGCGGGCAACTTACCTTCCGTGGGATAATACTCGCCTCCGTGTCCTTTATAAAATCATGACTTTACGTCATGAAATTAGTAAAATCTGGTAATTTTATTAAAGGACACGGAGGCTCCTATTATGCTAGTTCAAAGCTGTGTGATCACTGACGTGGAAAAATGGGAAACCGGATGGAAATAAAATTCAGGAATGTAGATTCTCTCGACCAATCGGCTGCTCGGGGAAGATCTTCCAATTTACAGCCTAATGAAAACGCTTTTGATGCCATCGCACCCCTCACTGAATGTGCTCCGTATGTGGAAGTATCAATGCCTGCCGACGTCATGATCCATTTGACCCAGCGAGATAGGGTGACTGTAGAAACCGGACGATGCGGTTGTCGAATGGCCAGGAATAGGTCCGCACACTGAGGATTTCGGACCGCCGCCGTCCGTGCTTCATACTCTTTGAGGCAGGCTACTGGGCATAAATTACTGTTATGTGGAAAAGCGGGGTAAAAAACCTTCGTGATGGACGTTTTTGTACGTCTCGATATATCAAAGGCCACCCCTTCCGGTGTATATGAGCGTGCCTGAATGTCCAATGCTCGTACATCTGAGACCCGTTTACAGGAGATGAGGCAAAACAACGTGACCAATTTTGCGGTGAGTTGCTTGATCGACAAATCTTCATTCTTTGGCCAACTTTCAAAAAGTTGGAGAACGAGGTTCACATCCCATACCTCCGAATACCGAGGTCGTGGTGGTCATGCAAATTTTATGCCTCGTAGGAGTCGACACACCATCAGATGTTTCCCTGTTTGAATTCCATTCCAACCTACGTGGCCTGCCGAGATAGCTGATTTATATAGATTAATTGTACGATACGCCAGGCCGTGGTCGAAAAGTGAAGTAAGGAAACCCAAGACTTGACTCACAGTTGCAGATATGGGATCCACGTGTTGTTCCACGCACCAACCATACCATGCGTTCCAGGCATGTAAATACGATTTCCTTGTACCCGGGGCCCAAGCTCCTGCCAGGAGGTCCAGAGTTGTTTGTGGAACATTTGGGGTGTCATCGAGTCCCCTGAAAGGAGCCATGCCAAAAGCTTGAGATGTCCCTGCAGTATGAGAGGGTGCGGATTGCCATAGGGGTCCAGGAGGATGTTGTCGTGTACCGGTAGTAACCTCGACAGGTCTATGGACAGTTCCAGGAGTGTAGGGAACCAGGGTTGAGACGTCCAGAAGG